ATTCTAAAATAAGTGAATTCTACCAGAAGTGTTTTTTTCATACAATAAGTATATTTTCTTCCCTAGATGAAGATAAAATTTTTGATCCTTCATCTACAGAATGTTTTTTGAATTTAGAATCACAGAATCCCCAAACTAGGAGAAATTTCAGGGGATCAGTCTAACCAATACTTGAACAAGAATCTCCTCCAGATCATATCAGAGAAACTGTCATCTAGCCTTTGCCAGATGTATCTACTATGATCAGGAAGTTTTTCTTTACATCAAGCCTAAATTTGCCTTTTTGCTACTGTCATCCACTGTTTCTAGCTCCGCTCTCCGGGACCAAGACCAAGTCTAATCTGTTTTATACTAAATGCCTTCAAATATTGGAAGACAACTTTCAGTTCCCCCAAGCCTTTTCATCTCCAAGTTATCCTCCCCGTGTTTTTTCAGTCAATCTACAAACAGCATGATGCCTTTCTTAATGTAGAATAATTGCACTAAAGTTAAATGCATTAGCCATATTACATGGCCATATTAAAATTGTTATAAAGACTTTATAGTCCACCTAACACTCTCTTATCAATTTTTTTTTCCTGATAAACTGCTTGCTAACTGTGATTCCCTCATTTAAATTTACAAAGTTGAATCCTGAACATGTAGAAGACTTTACATTTATCTGCATTAAGTTTCATCTTATTCTATTTGGCCCAATATTTCAGTCTGTCATTTCTAAATAGATGCTGTCATCCAACGTGTTAGCTATTCTTGCCAGCTTTGTACCATCTACAAATTTGATAAGCATGTCATCTATTCCTCCACTCAAGGCATTGATAAAAATGTTAAATAGCACAAGGCTGAGTTCTTTTTTCCATCAATGGTGACAGATTTGCACTGATCTAACTACAGTCTTACCCACTCCCCCTTGTGACAGCTGTCAGTCTGTGATCAAGTTAACTTGTTTATAAAGTGACTGAACTGTGACTGTGGCTTCTTTAGTCAACTAAGCTAAATAGTAAAAATTAATTTTCTATACTTCACTTGCTCAGTATTTAAAAATTATTGCACAGGGTATTTCTCCCATGTAATACCTAACAATGCTTTATAAAAAGGAAATGCTCAGTAATTTGAACAGCTTTATTTATATTTATATGGCAAGAATGTAAATTCAGATTGTATATACTGGTATCTGCCTTTCTCTAAATGCTATTAAACTTAACACGTACATTTCACATTTAGCAGTTTATTAAATTAGAAAGTTGGATGATTTTAAACTTAGGTTGGATAATATTAAAAGCAGGTGATAGATGAAGCATTAGAGTTGGGAAGACCTCAGTTAAGTCCTGCATCAGACACTTACTAGCTGTGTGACTTTGTGCAAGTCACTTACTCTCTCAGCCTCAGTTCCCTCACATATAAATTAGGGGTACTAATAGCCCCTACCTTGGAAGGTTGTTGTGTGGAACAAGTGTAAAGGACAGGACGTGTAAAGAGCTTTGCAAACCTTAAAGTATTAATATGAATGCTACTGCCATTCTCACATTGTTTTGTTTTTGCTTGCTCCCCCCCACTCCAGACTGTAGTTTTCTTGTGAGTAGGGAATGACATATTTCTTTTAATCCTGCTATACTTTCTAGCATATTAAACAGATAGGTAAATAACACAACACTTTGTAAAGGCAGAATACCTCAAGCTCCATTCTAGCATAAAATCAAGTTTAAGAATAGTCACTTGAGGAATTGCCTTTAAAATAAAAAAAAAAGCTGTCTACAAAAATTTCAGCTCACTCAGGAAATTGCTATAGTTGAAGAAGATATGAATGTGGAGGTGTACTTACTGATGAAAGAAGCCAAAGCCAGACTCACAGGAAGGCAAACACCATTATCTCTGGTCCTCAGCAAACCTAACACTCAAACGGAAGAACAGAATACGGATATGAACTCACACGTAGCTAACTGCTGATCCTAAGTGACTGAAGTTGGTGGGATTTGCTGTGTTTTAAATATACTCTCCATAAAGTTTCATAACTTGTTCCTAAGAGATCACACTGGTACTTGGAACATTGATTTCCTACTTGGTGTAGCTCATGACATAACTTATAGAACAATGAAAAGCAAGACTCAAACACACAAAACTCTATAAACTACAACACAAAACTCATCATTTATTCAAACATTTATTTAGTTCCCATGTGCAATGAATTGACAGCAATACAAACAAAAATTGCTATGTGGCTCCTGCAAGTCAGGAATCTAAAATTTCTGAGTTTGTGCCAACAGCTAATATACTTCAAGACTCTGTCACAAAAGTAAAAGATCTCACAGTTTTGAATACATAGGTTTTCTTTTTTGAGGAATCACATCATATGCACAGTAATCAACACTGCTATGGCTTTTGGAAGGGAAGTCAATCAACTCCCTGATGCCTCCACTTAATATCTTCCAGACTTCCAAACTCAAAGGCCCCTCCCAGGCTCCCAAGCCCTTTTAAGTGTGATATTTCCTATTAAAATGCACATTTAGTGAAGGCAAAGCCAATTTGTCTTTTATATTCCTGTCTCTACTGCATAACATATTGTTGTGGTTCAGTCCTGTTAGACTCTTCATGACTCCATTTGGGGTTTTCTTGGCAAAGATACTAGAGTGGTTTGCCATTTCCTTTTCTAGCTCATTTTACAGATGAGGAAACTGAGGCAAGCTGGGCTAAGTGACTTGCCCAGGATCACACAGCTTGTAAGTGTCTGAGCTCAGATTTGAACACAGGTCTTACTGACTACATGACTCCGTGCCGGGCTCTCAATCTACTGTGCCACCTAGCTGCTCATATGGTAAGCAATAAACATTTTTTCATTCAATTCATTCATTCATTAATACTAAAGTTACAGCATAGTCTACACATAAATATTATAATCTTTTTTTCTTTGGATACATTTGTACATTGTCTACTAGGATCATTCATCTAGAGCTTATAAGGAAACTTTGGTCATCTAATTCAATGCCTTTATTTTATAGAGAAACTATAACCCAGAGAGGTTAGAGAACTTGCTCAATGACTCCCAAATAGTACAGCTAGATGAATTAAGAGAACTCTAATGATGAATCCTAGTCCCAGTTCAGGGCTCTGTCCACTATACACACTGCTTTTCTTGCCTACTTATCTATCAGTTAAATCAGAGAATATATGTTGGGCAAGTTATCAGTAGAATGCTTTACAATCTTAGTGCTGAATGCTGTCCACAATTCTGATCGTTACATATTCTTTGAAATTGATGGTAAAGACAGCAAATGTATCTTACTACCAATCTGGACAATATCCTTTCCTTCCAACTCGACATAAAACAGTATTTCATAATTTACCTGATGTATCACCTAATTTTCAAACCATATAAATGTTCATTAATAAGTCCATTTCAACTGATTTTAAAGGAGATTTAAGAAATTATTGTTAAGGATTTACAATATTTCTAATAATACCATGTTTTCTCAGCCATTAATTTTATAATTCCATTCAAGCTAATTACTAACCATGCCTTTCAACAACAACAAAAGAGATTTTTCCAGGGTTTTTTCTTTGGCTCCCTCTCAGTCCATTCCATCCCTTGGTTATAGAGTTTAAATCATCCCTCAGGATTTGCAATATCCCATATGGAATTCTGTACCCCACCTACTTTCTTTTAGTCCCAATAGGCCAAGCACTCTTTTTTAATCATTCAAGTAGTTCATGGGTTAGAGCAAAAGTTAATCTCTCCAGGCATGATTAAAAAAAGGGCTTGGGCTCACTCCTTTGGCAGGGCACTGGACAATGTAAATTGACTATTCTTGAGTATTAAAGATGCCACCCAACCTGTCTTAACTCCTCTCAAGATACATGCAATTCTTGAGAAGCTCAAGCAGCTCTTCAAGAATGCCTTTGGAAGATTAATTCAAAAGATGACTTTTTAGCATCATTTTGCTTATGCAGAAAAGGGATTTTTCACAAAAATACCGGAATAACAAGTCAATAGAGACAAGGAAGTGGAGTAGAAAAGCTGGAATTTGGGTGAGAATACTGAAATTCCTGCTCCACTACTTACTGTGTGAGGGTGAGCAAGCCATTTCATCCCTCTGGAACTCGGTTTTCTTATGTATAGAAAAGGAATGCTAATACTTTACCTACCTAGTAGGGTTTTGATGAACTCTATAGAAAAGTAAAGGGAAGCTAGGTAGTACAGTAGCCTGGAGTTAGGAAGACCTGAATTCAAATACATTCCCAAACATTAGCTGTCTGTCCCTAGGCAAGTTACTTAACCAGGTTTGCTTAAGTTTCCTCATCTAGAAAATGAGCTGGAGAAGGAAATGGCAAAGTACTCCAGTATGTTTGCCAAGAAAATCCTAAATGAGTCACAAAGAATTGGATATGACTGAAAAACAGAAAGGCAAGCTTTAAGATATATAAACAAGTTACTATGTATTCAATGTCCATTTGCCCTTGTTACCATATACAAACATTTTTCATTGGTGTTCATATTCTTTTCAAATGTGTATTTCTATTACTTATCTGTCACAGCACCCCTTTTGAAATTGCTTTGATGTAAGGACAGAACAAAGGTAGAACCTGGAAGTCAGATCTGCCACTGATTTTAGTGATGAGATTGAACCATGGTTCCAAAGGCTGGCAGGCAAGGCTAGATGATTTCCAAGGTCCCTGACAGCTCTGACCATGATTCTTCACACGCATAGAGAACAACAGAAAGCAGTAACTTGTCACACCAACACACCTGGTCAGATTTAATAAATTATTTTTAACAATCATTGCCTTATTATTATATTTGTAGCCTTTAAAGTTTGTGAAGACCTTTACTGTCATCTCATTTGAGCCTCACAACCCTGCGAAGTAGGTGCTATTATTATCCTCATTTTACAGATGAGGAAACTGAGGCAGACTGGGTTAAGTGACCTTCCCCAGAGTCACACACTTAGTTAAGTGGCTGAAGGTAGATTTGAACTCAGGTCTTTCTGACTCCCAGGCGACCGAAACGATTAAAGAACAACAACAACAAAAAATAAAAGGTGCGGCGTGAAGTAGCTGACCTCACTTAACCCTTCTGGGTCACAGTTATCTGTAAATTAAGGGGTGTGTGGTGGAGTACACGACCATCTGGGCCTCAGGTTACTTCTCCATAAAATAAGGGGAGGGGGGTTAGATGACCTCCAAGGCTTCCTCCGGCTGTATGATCCTATGGCACAAACTCTCAGAGAAGCGATGTCCACAGCAAACCAAGCCTCCTTCAATAGCGTCTCGCTTTTACTTTGTCAGGACCGACAACAGGTCAAATAAAACTTCCTACGTGGAGGACTTCCCAGAAAGTGAGAAGCAGGAACCAGCGTCATATCCGTCTGCGCAAGCGCGGGAGGCTGCGCATGAGCAAAACGAATCTACTGACGTAGAGCAGCGTCTTCCGCACTTCCGTATTTTGTGGGTCGCGGCTCGGGTGAGTTGACTTTCGCGCCTAGCGGAGCGGCGACTCCTCCCCAGCGTGAGGGTCACAGTGGGGGGTGGAGTGGGGGGCGGAGGTGGATTCTGGAGGAAGGAAGAGAAGTGGGTCAGGGGCTACTTAGGGCGAGTTGAGGTGGGCCAGCAGTCTCCGAAAAGCGCTGCCGTTGCATGTGGACGGTTTTGGCGCTGGCTTGGCCTGCGGAAGTTACTGTTTACGGTTGTTGGATTGTCATCTCATCCAACCCGAGCGTTGTGAGTGTCGTTCATAATAACCCTGCGCATTTAGCGGAGATTATGTTTTGTAAAGTGCCTTCCTCCCCGGGGTTGGTGGAGTAGGTGCCAATGCTTCTACCCACTTTGCAGATGACCAAAATAAAGGCTGAGAGCAGAGATGAATGAATGACTCAGAGTCGCATAGCTAAGATCAAATCGCTGTAGGGTTTGTTTGTGTTTGTATTTTTTGTCAACCTGTCAGTTAGCGTTTATTAAGCACATACTATGTGCCAGGAGCTGAGGATACATGGAAAGGGAGAAAAGACACTCTCTGCCCACTAGGAGCTCATGTTTTAGTTGTGGAAACAAATGCAAGCGACTATGTACAAACAAGCTGTGTAAAAGATAAAAGGTAGGGGTGGGGGCAGTGTCAGGGGGAAGGCACTAAGACTACAGAGGATGTTCTTGCCAATGCAATATTGTGTCATGTAACTGTATAGTATTGTAAACAAGTCATTAATTCCTCTTGATATATGCTGGACTTCTCGGTAGACATGCCTGACATGATTGCCTGCCAACATTTTCTTATTAAGACCTGTCAGCAGACTTGACCACTGATCTGTTATAACTTGCATTTTGTGTGTTTTTTGGGAAAATAATGGAATCACTGTGACTTTAATTCTGTTACACAATAGATGAAACATGTACAAATGATTTTTCAAATTTTTATTCTCTTCTCTTAAGCTTTTACTACTCCCGTATTTTTATCCAGTGCCCCACAGTTGCACCCGAGACTACTACAGCCTCTCCCTCCACCCCTCCCCATCCTCTAGCACTCCCAAGGGGCAGTATTGCCCACTTTGGGATCCTCTGATACTATTCTAAACTGGGGTCTAGAGAACTAAGTTTCAATCCCAGTTCAAGCTTAGCTTGGACAAGCCACTTATTCTTTCTCATTTTCATTTCTCTTATGAAGTCGAAGTGTTTGACTAGGTGACCTCTAAAGCATGTTTTGGATCTGTAGTTGGAGAGCCTGTACATTAATTGACTACTATGCAATAGAGTGCCATGAGGAGACTATGGTGTAGTAGTGTTTAATACTGAATGGGGAAAGATCTGATTTCAGTTATTTTCTCTAGCACTTACTTACTATCCATGTAACCATAGATGTGTAAATGGTTTAACCTTTTAGAGACAGCTTGCACAATCTGCCACCACTTATGGCCTCAGGGAAAGGATTTCCTCTATATACAAAGAATGTTTTCGACTACATTTTTTGAGGGCCACCCAACATCCTTTGTGCCGCCTTTGTTTCCTCCACTGTAAAGTGAAACAGAATTTGCCTTTCAGTGCTGTGAGTTTCAAATGAGTTTATGCAAAACCCTTGTAAATCTTAAAATCCATATTGGAAAATTAGTTATTATTGCCAAGAAGCTTGTTATAATTCTGGAATTCAAGGGGCCTGCTGTCACTTTAGAAAAAAAATGGAAAGTTTATGCCCCAATCTGTTGCTAAACAATGTATGTGACATCCGCAGAAAGTGTTAAGGGGCATGTGTCTGTAAAGGGAACGGGACTGGGCAAACTGGAAAGGAAAATCAGTATTAGAATCTCAGGTTAGTTCTGTCCTTCATTAATTTATAGTGCAGCGAAACTTGGGAGTAATGGTAATTTACTTTAGTCATATAGTGATTTTTGTGCCCTCAGAAAAATATTGTCATTCAAGTAATCTATTTGGAGTTGGTTTTAAATGCAAATATGCCAGTTCACCTAGTGAAGGAAGTCAATGGAGTGCCTGAAGTTCAATTACCAAGCTACTTAGAAGAAGTGGATTTCAGAACTCTACAACTTGGTTGTGATTATACTAACAAATTTATTCAGGTAAGGAGTTTTAATATTTCAAAATTCCTCTTCCTTAGAAAAGCATGCTAATATAGATATGATGAGTTATAATGTGGGGGGTTGTTTCAAGAATATACAACAATAGATAATATTTAATATTCAGAGATTCCACAGGTATTTCTTATTATCTGGTTTCTATTCAAAACCTCTTGATTATTTTACTTTTCCTTTCGAAGTAGGGGAGGGTGGTGGCGGTAGTAAATTCAGACTGGCCAGCAGCTAGAATTAATTAAACACTTACTATTTTCCAGACATAGGGGATACAAATACAAGCAAGCAAGAAAGACTGACAGCCCCTGCCGATAAGGAGCAACATTCTAATATCCCTTTATCTAACCATAATGTGGGCTTTTCTACCTTTGCCTTTGCCTTCCCTTATAAAACCCTACTCTTTGTCCATACTGTGACATTTAGTCCCTGGACCCTTCCATTTCCTCCCAGGCCATCATCACCTTCTAACGATCCCTTCTGCTTTTTTTTATCCATCTTGACCTTTTGGTGAACCAGGTCAATTTTACACTGTCTTCTCCAGGCCTTGGCTCCCTTGTCATATCAACAGTTGTCTTCTGCCAAGCCTCAGCCTTGGATCTCTAGCCACCATCTGCTGTGTTTGATCTGATACCTCCAGGATTTAATACAAAATCCTCTGGTTTGCATTCAAAGCCTCTCATAACTAATCCTGTCCTGCAACTTTTCTAGTCTTTTTACTCTTTCAAACCTCCTGCCCTCTTCCCCCACAACACACACATTCTTTAATCCAGTGATATTGAATTCCTTGCTGTTCTATGAAAAAGACATTTCTCTTGGCTCTGGGCATTTTCTCTGGCTGCCCCCTTTCCTAGAATGCTCTCCCTCTTCATCTCTTCCTCCAAGTTACCCTGACTTTCTTTAAGTCTCAAGTAAAATTCCACGTGCCTTCCCTCTGTTAATTATTTCCTATTTATTGTGCATATAGTTTGTTTATATATATTTATAAGCACCCAACTTTCTTTCAGTTGTTTGCTTCACAAAAATATATTTCCCTATATTTTGCCTCAGTATATATGCATAGTAGTGAATATGCTGTTTTTGTTCTCCCTGAGGTATAGCATAGTAGTACATATACTTTCTGAGTTAGAGGTAATGATTTTATTAGTGTATCTCCCAATTGTTTTCAACAGTGGTTCACCCAATTCACAGCTCCACCAATAGTGTTTTAGTCAGTTACTCTTTTCCCTCACTTAATTTTAGAACATGCTCCTTTCATTTGGGTATAAAGTTAGGTGGGAATTGTTGTTGATCATATACAGCAGAATATTTTAATCTTTTCTTTAGTAATACTGTAATTTTTACAAGAAATGTGTTGGTTTCATCTCTACTTCTCAGCAAAGATTTATAGTATACTGTTTTGTGAAAGACTTGATTAAGTCATAATTAATCTTTCAAAATATATTTCTTCACATTTAGTGGTACTTTCTGAACTATTATGCTTCATGTTGAAGATTAAGATATACTTGTCAAAGCAAATAAAAAACAAACCTAGCAAGTTTGATGCTAAATCATAATCTTTGTCTTATATTTTTAATCTTAGTAGACACGTATTGTTCTCATGTTTGTTTTTAAATTTATTTTAAAAATCCATAAATCTACTTCATTGATGTGGCTAATTAGTAACATAATTTAGTGATATTCTTGCTTCTAGTAAAATACTAGATTGGAAAAAGATGAAAAAGATATGTTACTTTGATTTATTCTTAAGTAGATCATTTCATTTTCTGAATTTTAGCTACCTTACATGAATGTTAAATTCATGTTAAATTATTTAATTTTATAGGCCTTTTAGAGTGCCTTTTTAGAAATGCCTTTTAGAAATATTCATATTTTGAATTTTCTTTCTTTTACCATTTTATATTTCTTCTCTACTAAGATCCATGGAATTTATATTAAGATTAAAATTAATGTTTACTGAATGAAGTACTTGTCATCTATAGTAAAATTAACATTTGTATTTACTAAATAAAATATTTTTCTTTTTGGGAGGTTAAATATTAGGTGTCTTATTTCTAGGTAGTTCCAGGATAATTAGCTTTGTTGTCATTTGGTTATTTCAGTTGTCTCCGATTCTTCCTGACACCATTTGGGGTTTTCTTGGCAAAGGTACTAGAGTGATTTACCCTTGATCAGCTCATTTTCCAGATGAGGAAACTGAGGCAAACAGGGTTTAAGTGACTTGCTGAGGGTCACACAGCCTAGTAAGTATCTGAGGCTGGATTTGAACTCAGGTCTTTCTGACTCCAGGCTGCCCTGTAATTAGTTTTACATAAATTTTGACTTGTGGGAAGTTTTAAAAATTAGTGATTGATAGGAAAAATAGCACAACTTCAAAGATAGTAAGTTTCAGAAAGTGGAAAGCTAGTATTTTTTCAAAAACAATTTTTTAGAATAACTTTAATGAACATTTTATTACTTTGAAGGATATATGCTTTTTTTTAGTGTAGGTATTTTCCTCAACCTATGTAGGTCACAATCCCCTGATGACTTAGTAAATTGTCTTCCATCATTGCTAAGATTGAAAAAGTCACTCTTCAGCCAACCTAACAATGGTAAGTCTTTTTGGACTTTTTCTGGATTAGTCTTCACGCAAGGGAAATATAATCTATCACCAGGCCCATGCTTGAAGCCTTTATGACTGGCTTAGTCTCTGAAAACCTAAGACCAACTAACTCCATGCCGTAGTGATTCATTTGAGCAGAACTGTATTTAAAAACCATATCAACATGTTCAAAATTGGCATTTGAAATAGACACTTCTTTACATCGTGATTAATGTAAAAATAGGTTTAATATGAATGTATATGTAGAGCCTGTATCAAATTGCATACTGTCTTGGATGGAGGGGAAGGGAGGGATGGGGAGAAAATTTGGAACTTAAAATATTATGGAAGTGGAAATTTTAAAGATAGACACTGCTTGATTTATAGGTAGTGGCATATGAGTAACTTATTTATACAAATAGTTGGCTATCACCAGCTCCTACTCCCCTATCTCCTTCTCTCAAATCCTGAAACTTTTGGCTGACAGTTAACAATGTGAGGTGGTTTACCAATATTTGGCATAGTGAGCTCTCTGACCCAACATGAAGATGCTTTTATAAATTTTCCTTTTCAAGCAATCTCATCTACACACAAATCTCCTTTTCATGCTCTATCTTTTTCATGCTTTCCCAATACCTTAGGAAGATTTCCTTTTGCTTCCATTTGTGAGTCAAAAAATTACTAATTCTGTCTAACAAGCACGTGAGTAGTACTAGAAATACACCTATCATATGTCAAGAAAAAGAAAAACACAAGTTTTAAAGTTAAAATAAGTGGCTATATTAAAGAAATAGTACTCTAATTTTCTAAAATTTTACAGAAAATCCAGAATTCCCATCTATCTTCTTAGCCTACTTTAGTTCATCCTACTGTTCCTCAAACTCTAGATTAAACGTACGTGTTTAATACAAGCCCTAGAAAACACACTACTTACCTAATTTTAGTGTGATTGTTTTGTTCAGTCATTCATGTTATTTTCATCAGTTTTTCATTGTAAATGTCCTGTTTTAGAGCCACAGAGGTTAATGGGGGATTGTGTGTTACATTGGGAACCTAGTCAGCATTTATAATGAATGTGAAAATTTTGAATTCTACATGGTTGCCTTTAAAACAAAGAAAGTCCAATTGGGAATCTTTGTATATTATGTGTTTCCCTTAGTCCTTCTATAAATAAGAGAAAAGAAGGAGGCTAATTAAAAAATTAGGCAATTCTAGCCATTTCAATTTCATAAATATTTTTAAATCAGTCATTGAGTGTATAATACTATTACTAGCTTTTGGGTAAGACACAAAGTTTACATGAGATAGTCTCTACCCTCATGGAGGTATGTATAATGGGAGAAATGGCAGATAAATAATAATAATATAACATAATAATAGTAACTGACATATAGCACTTTAAAGTTTGCAAAGTCCTTTCCTTGTAGCATTTCATTGAACTTTGTGAAATGAAACATGTTGCCCATGATTTGTAGCAGAATTCAAACCCAGGTTTTGTGATGCCAAGCCCAGCACTATTTCTGTTATGCTGTACTTGCTTTCTATATGTACACAAGTCACCATGTACCAACAACTATTCAAAATTAAACATTTGTGTGAGAGAAGTAGAAATAGAGTTCTGTGTAAGGTCTGAGGGGACAGTCATTACTAACTGTGTAAAATCAGGGAAGGCATTTGAATTAGTGGAGGTGGAGGAGGCAGCATTTGATTTGAGTCCTAAAGAAGGCCTTGCTGGGGAAGGCATTCCAGTTAGAAGTCATGTGAATCAAGTCAGGAAGAAAGAAGGTGTGGAGCATCTATGGGAATGATTACAAGTAAGCATTTTGAAAACCCCTTGTTAAACTGTTCTACAGTAGAGTGGTGCCCACAGGAGCTCTTAAACTGCATAATGCTGTGTGCCTTTACACTGCATGACCCCAAACTGCTAAGCTGTCTTTTTTAAAAATAATTTTTTCTGTCTTCTTCATTTCTATCAAGCAGTTTACCTTTTGTGACTGATTCTGGCACTCTTTCTCTGATTTGTTACTTCTGATCTTTTAGGAGCTAGCAAACCTGATATCTAAGTCTGATATTTAAATGTATAAAGCACTGCCTACAGGCTCTGTTCCTTATCTTCTCAATCAACTTAATGCCACTTTTTCCTGTTCTCTCATTTACAACTCATTTTACTGTGAGATCATCCTTCATTCTCTCTTCCTTTGCTTCAGGCTGAGGAAGAAATGACCCTTCTTTTTGCCAAGTCTAGCTTCTCTATGATTTTTGATCCCAGTCCCTGCCATCTTCTAGAGCTTTTCCCTTTCATTATATCATCACTGCTTTCTCCTCTCTATTCATTCTCATTCCAATCTCACTTTATTCTTCCCTGTTGTCAAGAAATAGATCTCTCCTATCTTAAAAAAAAAAAAGTCTTCTCTTTGACCCTGATATCCCCTCAAGGTATCATCCTGTGTCTCTCATATTTTTCATAATCAAAGCCCTAGAAAAGCTATCTAGACTCCTTGCCTCCACTTTCTCATCTCCCACCTAGTTTCTGACTGTTTTCAGTGCTCTGACCCATTAAAGCTGAAGTTTAAGAGTTACTAATAATCTCATAATGCTATTCTTGACTACTCTGCAACATTTGCTAGTATTGACCACTCTCCCTTTTTGCTCTGGGCTTTTATGACATTGTTTTCTCCTGGCACGTTGCTACTTCTCAGTCTATTTTGCTGGATAGTCATCTCCATGTGGGTGTACGTCAGGCATCTGTTTTGGTCTCTTTTTTCTCCACAGTCTCTTTCCTAGTGATCTAATTAGTTCTGTTGGGTTTAATTGTTATCTTTATACAAATTACTTCTAAATCTACAGATCCAATGAGTTGCTGTGGAAAGGACCCTGGATTTGGAGTCAGAGGCCCACAGTTCAGATTTTAGTCATGTCCTTTGCCATCTTTCTGACCTTGGGAAATTCAAATTCACTTAAGCTCTTAGCTTCAGTTTGACTATATGGTCTATAGCTTTAAATCTATGGTCTTATCTCTCCTTAGCTTCAGTCCTGTATTATTACCTGCCTGTTGGCTTGTCCATCTGAATCGCCATAGGCATTTCAAATTCAGCATGTTAAAAATAGAACGCATTCTCTTTACCACAAATTCTACTACTCTTATAATTTCCTTATTTCTGTGGGGAAATCACCTTCCTTCCAGTTAGCTAAGTTCACAACTTCGGAGTCATCTTTGACTGTTCACTCTCCCTTACACCCCATATCCAGTCATTTGCCAAGTATTGGCTATTTATACTTTTAAAATATTTGTCACATTTGTCTTCTATAACTAGCATTTACTTAGTGCTTTAAGATTTGCAAAAAAAAAATCTCATTTTAATCTCACAACAATCCTGTGATGGAGATACTATTACTGTCCTTGTTTGACAAATGGGGAAACTGAAGCAGATATAGCTAGCAACTATTCCAAGGCTGGATTTGAACTCTGGTTTCCTGACTCCAGGTCCAGCACCCAGCTGCCTATTTTATGCCTTCACACTTATTACTCTGATTTAGGCCCTTATTACTTCTTGCCTGGCCTGTTAGATTATTTTCAATTTGCACTGTATATATATCTTGTATGTAAATTTATTTGTGTGTTATTTTCTACATTAGAATTTGAACTTGAGGGCAAGTATCATATTTTTGATTTTCTTCATATCTCCAGAGCTTATCACAGTGTCTGGTACATAGTGAACACTTAAATGCTTATTAATTGATACAGTAATTATTGAGATAGCTTTTCATTGGTATCCCTGCTTTACTCTCCTGTCTTCTACAGAGTTGCTGAATTGATATAAAAGTATGAGGCTGACTATATTACCATCCTGCTTAAGGAGCTTCAGTAGCTCCCTAAAGCCATTCATAATCTGGCTCCAACTCTCTTTGCAGACTGATTTCACATTTAGTGCCTTTCATTTACTCTTTGTTCCTGCTCAAGTGGCCTATGTGTTGAACCTTATATGGAAATTTCATCTCAAGCTTCTTTCTCTTTGCATAGACTATCTGCCCCCTATGCCTGGCATGCTTTTCCTTTTTTACCTCCACCTCTTAGAATTCCCAGCCTACTTCAGGGCTCAGATGAAATATAACCTTCTATAGGCATCCTTTCCTGGATTTTCTTGTTGTTAGCACCTCCACAGTCCTCCAGAATCACATCATATTTACATTTAGGTATGTTGTTACTTAATTATGTGCTTGTTGTTTCCCTGTAATAACTCTTTGAAGATGAAGACAGTTTTATTTTTGTCTTTGTATCCCCATCCCTAAGCATAGTGCCTTCTACACAGTAGGCACTTAATAAATATTTACCAAATTGAATTGAGTGGGTGTTTGAAGGAGAAACTTAGGTGTAAATGGAATGCATAAAGCTGAGTATACCGGCTTTATTAACAGTTATTAAAGCTGCTAAAAAGCAACCCCCAGTTGAATGATGTGTTACTGTGCCTTTTTTGGCTAAAGGTCTTAGGAATACTTATATCCTGGCCTTTATTAAATTATCATGATAAGGTAGGTAACTAGAGTACCAAGACATTTATAGAGTATAGATATCTTTCAGTAAATGAGGCAAAATCTTAAGTCTTTATTCCATTTGAATTACTTCTGGACTCAGCATAGTACTCTACCATAGGAGATATTTGTTGAAATTGAAATCAATTTCCCAGTGCCTTTCAAATATTGTTTAATTTTTTTCCTTTCTTTTGTTTTTAAAATTTCAGGGTACGGTTTCACTTATCTACTCTTTAACTCAACTTGGAGATGGAACTGCCTTTTTGAAGATAATATTACAAGGTGTGTAATATAAGGAACAGAAGTTCACCTATAGTACTTATCCACTTGAAAGGGAACCATTGCTTTATAGTCTTATATTAAAATTCCTCACCCAGTTGTTCTACTCTACACAATCTGATTTCACACTACCTTTTCAACATTTTTTCTACTACTCACCCACAAAACTGTTTGCTCCAGTCAGATTGATATGATTTGTACCTCAAACATACTTTGTGCATTCTAATTTCTGTGCTTTTTTCACCCTGTTCTTTCTACCTGGACTCCCTTCCCTTTCTCCTTTACAAATCCCACCTGTTTTTCAAAGACTGTCTTAGTTCCTACTTCCATATTTCACCTTCCCTCATCATTCACAGTATCCTGAAGTGATTTTTTTCCTCCTCTGAATCCTGTATAGCACTTAACTGTTTGTATCATAAAAGTCCATTTCTCATATGTTGCCTTGTATTTTTAAGTTGGTAGTTTTCTTTTCACTCAGCAAGCATAAACAAGCACATGGAAAAACCAGTAAACCCAAAGCAAAGTATATTCCTCTGAAATAGTTTAGCAAAAACACCACAATTGAGGCATATGTATCACTTTATGTATGCACTTGTATTTTTCATATTTTTCTTTTCCTTACTTCCGTTATAATTTTAATCAACTTTGAGTGTGTATGTGTGTCCCTGTGAGTGTGTATGCATGCTTACACCTTTATGCCTTATATCCCCAGCTACACTGTGAACCACGTGAGCAGGAATTATGTTATATGTTTTTTTATATTCCTCCTCAGTGTATATTCAGTAAACATTTAATTCATTTTCCAGGTTAAAGAAATACCAACATTAAAATATAGTGTTATAGAATGCAGAAATGCTGTTTTTTAAGATGAGAAAGATATTAGTTTTTTTTTTTTGATAAGGCTATTTTTTAAGTTTCTGAAGTCATTTGATCCAGAAAGTACAGGCATTTATTTGCCTGTGGTAAATTATGTCTTTCTGCTCATAAGTATAGGTTCCTAGAGAATACTGAGCACCTAAGAAATTGACTGGACAAAAGATATTAATTTCACCATCTTTATATTTTTATTTTACTTGGCTTATTTTAAATTTAAAAAATTATTCAGGATTTAACAAACACCAACCAAAATGAGGTACTAGATAAGTATAACTGAAAAAGAGGAAAGTCCTTGAAATTTTGAATCCTATTGTGTGTAAGTGGAACAGTGGATGGAGCCCTGGGCAGTACTGTGTGGCCCCGAGTGAGTTTGCTCAGTAAAATTGAGGTAATAATCTCATCTAACAAACATGGATGTTGTGAGGATCAGATAAGACAACATGCAAAGTGCTTTGTGAACGTGCAAAAAACCCTCTAAAAATAAACAAAGAAAAACAGACTTTGGTAAACAAGAATAATGAAGATGGTACAGGGTCTTTGAGGCCATGTCATAATGATCACATCATATGAAATGGAAGGAATTGGAGATGTTTACCTTGTGTAACACTGAAGACTCAGGCAGGGCAGGCTAGCTGGCTGTGCTCAATTACTGCATGGGCTAGTCTGTGGAAGAGAGATTAGATTTGTTTTTGTCTTCACAGGACAGAAGTAGGAGCAAGGGGTAGAAGTTAAAAGGAAGTGTATTTGGGTTTGATGTCGGCAAAATGGTTCCAGCAATTGGAGAACTGTCCAGAAGTGGAATGGGCTACATTGAGAAGTAGCGAATTCTCCTTAGAAGTCTCCATGAAGACTATGAATGACCAGTTGTTAGGCATGTTACAGTAGGCATTTCCTTTGTCTGCAAATTGGGTATGACTTACACCAAATCTTGTTATTTCTGCCCTCACAGCATGTCTGTTCTATGTCACCTTCTCTTCACTCACATAGGTACAACCCTGTTTTAGTCTCTTGTCACCTCTCACTGTTCTATTGCAATAGCATCTTAACTGTTCTCTTATCCTCAAGTTTCACCCAATTTCAGTACAATCTTCTCTCAGATGCCAAGATACATTTCCAGTCTTTAAAGAATCTAAGCTCATAGTGGAGACAGAGCATTTATTCATTTAAAAATATTCACTGAGAATCTAATAGTAACAAATCACTGTGCCTGATGTTTTGGGAAAACATATTAGAATATGAACCAGTATCTGAATTAGTAGGTAGTTCAGTGTCATAATGGATGGAATGCTGGACTTAGGTGCCCCTGAATACACCTAAGTACTTCAGGTACTTAGTAGCTCTGTGACCCTGGGTAAGTTACTCACCCAACCTGAGAGTCCTTGTTTGTAAAATGGGACTAACAGCATCTGTGTCACTGGATTGTTGTAAGAATTAATTAATGTAACATGAGTTACAAACCTTAAAGTGCTTTTTAAAAGAGCTATTATAATCAGAGAGTCTGGAGTCTAATTGCTGTTTGAATACTTACAAAGTGATGTATGAGTAAATATAAGCTAATGTAATCCAAGCAAAATATCAAGTAGCGTCAATATTTGAGTGATTTCAGTTCAATTATAGTTTATCAGGAAAGGGTTCTTGGAAGAAGGAGATTTTGACCTGTTTTGAAAGAGGATAAGTGTACGTTGAAGGGAAAGGAAATATCACTTTGCCTGTGGTAAAGTATGGCATGCATCATATTTAAGTAGGAGAATTTTTATATGTGTATATAACACACACACACATATATAAAATTTATTTACGCCTTTTGAAAGTTGTTGGTGGAATTTTTGTTAATGTTAATTATATTCATTTCTTTTTACGTAGGCAAGCAGAATTATATTTTGCTTGTGGAAAGAAAAGAGTAGAGTGATTCCATCACATTAGCAGTGTCAAGCTTTGACATTGAAAATTTTTGGTAAAGTACATTTGGTTTGTATTCTGGGCTTGAAAAGCAAAGACAGAACTACACTGAATAAATATGAGAATATTTTGATTAGTATTCAATAAGAATGATTTCTTTTTTGTGGTGTGACCATTGTAGAAGTCCAAATTGAGCAGTGATTTGTACTAGAAGAATTATTAAGATATGGTACTTAGTTTTTTCTCCCTTAGAAAATTAAAGACTATTTAAATTGAAATTTTTGATGATTTCATTTTCAATAATTAGTAAGAATTACAATATAATAATAAGTGGTATTCTGTATGTTATTGTTGCAATGCTTTAAGTATTATAAACTAAACATTTTAATTGCAATTTATAATTTCATTTCAATGTAACAGTAATAAAATAGGATTTTATATAATGTTGCTTTTTTTTTATCATTTTTCTTGTGTACGAAAAATGTTTTATGGCAGTGTGTGTTTTTTGTCCTATTTTCCTCACAGAGAAAGAGAAATTTCATCCAGAAATCAACACAATCAATATATTATTCTTTGGAAATTTAGCTGAGCAGTGTGCAAAAATTATGCACCAAGGGGTAAGGGATTTTTATCTTTTATTTAGAAATAGTTTTATTTAGCTGTAGGGCTTATCCTTTTGAAGGGATGGGTGGAGTAGGTTTGTGTGTTTGCCAGTTAGTTTAGTTAATTATTTTAATAATTTTTCTCCTTCTGTGATTTCTTAAAATATTTTTTATTTGACCTGTTATTTCATTGGTGTGGGGAACTCCTGGTGAGGAACTTTATCTATGACTTCAGATGAATACTTTCTCTTTAATGTTTTGTCCTGAGAGTTGCTTGGAATGCTGAGACACAAAGTGACTTGATCGGGGTCATAAAGCCACCCTGTGGTAGAGCAGAGTATTTGGATTCATGTGTTCCTGACTCTGCTGCTTTCTCTCTGCCATCAGTGGTTTTCAGAGTGTGGCTTCTCAACTCCTGGAGATCCTGAGCCCCTTTCCAGGGGGCCAAAAGGTCAAAACTATTTTCATAATAATACTAAAACATTAACATTTTTAATGTAGTAAATATTGATAGTTATAACTATCATAACATAAACAAAAAGCTCTTTGGGGAGTCCTCAATAATTTCTAAGAGTGTAAAGGGGTCTTGAGACCAAGAAATTTGAGAACTGCTCCATTACACCATTCTGTATGAATTCTTTTTCAATTTTGAAGATTTGATTGATAGAGGAGTGACATAACAACTCTTAGGTGTGATGAAATTTATAGAAGTAGATTTATAGTTAGATTTGTGATGATTTAATTTTTTTAGCAGTGTTTGAGACATCACTTTTTTAAAAAAAATTTTACATATACATATGTATATATCTTTTTTTTTAATGTGAGGCAATTGGGGCTAAGTGACTTGCCCAAAATCACACAGCTGGTGAGTATTATGTGTCTGAGGCTGGATTTGAACTCAGGTCCTCCTGACTTCGGGACTCCTGACATTGTGCCACCTAGCTGCCCCTATCACTTACTCCTATAAGGCAGTAAAGATATTAGAAAAGAAGACCTTCCTCATGCAGAATGATTATATTTTCAGGGAATTGGAGAGATTCTGTATTAATAGGATAAAATTGGGTTTTATTTCTATTTTTTTCTCTTCTTAGTTTTTAATTTAGAATTTTATTGTCTAAGGTAACTAGCAGATTTTCTACATGCTATCGTACTCTATATCATCTTGGGAATCCTGATACAGTTGACAGGTGGGATAGAAAAACAGGGTAATTACCTAGCCATTAAGAGTCAGAATATTTTAGTGTAGTCTCTTCTGGTATTTTACTGATATTGAGAGATAGAGGGTGCATATAAGCTGTCAGACTCATTATATTCAGTGCTTTAAATTTTTATTCCAAGATTAGAGTCACACTGGGGAAGAGGAAGAGTGTTGACAGTCTGTGTTCTCTCTTTACAAAGCTAGAGATTTATTGCTTACGTTTTGTTTTGTTTTTTCCTTAATCATATGAGTCTCTGGAGAAGTACAGACAATTTCCTTTATTATTTTATGATAACATTTTATTAATATCTTTGGTTTTTATATCACTTCCATTTTCCAGTGTAACCTCATCCCTTTAGTACAGTGGAAGGAAGGGAGGGAGGGAAGGAAGGAAGGGAAGGAGAAAAGAAGGAAGCAAGGAGAGAGAGAGGTTTGATGTTCCAGGCACTGTGCTAAGCACTTTATAAATGCTATCTCATTTAATCCTTACAACCACCCTGGGAGGTAGAAGCTTTTATTTTTATCCCCATTTAACAGAGGGAGAAACTGAAGCAAACAGAGGCCAAGTTACTTGCCCAGGATCATTCATGTGTTTAGTACGTGTCTGAAGCAGAATTGGAACTTGGGTCTTTTTCACTGAAGGCCCAGTCTATTCACTATGCCACAAAAAAACACTGACTCAGGAATCACCCGCCCTGAGTTCAGATCCCACCTTTGATACTTGCCACCATTGTGACCTTGGGAAAGTCCCTTCGCCTCCCTGGCCCTCAGTTTCCTCCCATGTAAGATAAAAGAGTTGGACAAACTGGCCTCTGATGTCCCTTCCAGCTTTAGAGCTGTGATCTGTAGAGCTAGGAGACTGTGGTTTTCATGACAAAGAATGAAGAGGAGGGTTAGGAGCCCTTCAACAAAGCTGATCAGCATATCTTAATAGTCTGATGTATGCAGCATACCACATACCTAGTCTCTGCAAAGAAGCCAGGCAAGGTGCCTGCTCATGTCTTTCTTTAAGAGCCAAGATTGGTCATTAGAAATTTGGAGCAGTCAGTTTTGATTGTTTTGCAGTTCTTTCCATTTACATGACTGCGGTCATGTATATTTTCCTTGATTTGCTTATTTCACTTTGAATCAGTTCCTATGTCTTCCCATGTACCACAGTTTGTTTAGCTGTTCTCCATTTGATGAGTATCTACTTTGTCTCCAGTTCTTTATTACTATAAAAAGTGCTGCTGCTAATATTTTCATGTATAAGGAACCTTCCTTTTTGTCAGTAACATGCTTAGGGTATGTGCCTATCAGTACAAACTCTGAATCAAAGAAGTTATGTAATTTTAGCCACTTTATTTGCCTAAATCCAGTTGCTTTGCAGAATGGTTGTACAATTCACAGTTCCATCAACAGTGCATCAGTGGTCCTGTCTTTCTGCAACCTAATATTGATTATTCCTGTGTTTTGTAATCTTTGTCATTTTATAGAGTTTAAAGTGAAATATCAAGGTTTTTTTGATTTATATTTCTTTTCTCAGTTCTTTGAAACATTACTTCATATGATTGTGAAAGATTTGTAATTTTCATTTTGGGAAGTTTCTTCATATCCATTCACCATTTTTCAGGGAATGGCTTTTGGTTTTATATCTATATCTATCTCTGTATTAATATTTGTATTTTCATCTGCAGGTATGCATATATCTATATCTGTATCTATATTTGTATCTATATCTATGTTGTTTCTATGTTTTGGATACACAACTTTCATCAGAGAAAATTGATACAAAGATTTTTTTCCCATTTGACACTTCTTTTATCCCTAAGTGAATTAATTTTTTTTGTGAAGAAGCTTGTCAGCTTCTTGTAATCAGAATTATCTATTTTGTCTTTTACAATTGATTCTATCCCTTGTTTGGTTAAGAAAATATTTCCTACTCATAGCTGTCAAAGGCATATGATCCACTTGTCTTTTTTTTTTTTTTTTTTTTTTTGCTAAGCAGTCTGGAGTTAAGTGACTTTTTCAGGGTCACACAGCTAGTAAGTTTCAAATGTCTGAGGCTGGATTTGAACTCGGGTCCTCCTGACTCCAGGGCCAGTGCTCTATCCACTGTGCCACCTACCTGCCCCACTTTTTTTTTTAATGGTATGATCTGTAATATTCTGATTATATATCCATTTTGAATTTAATTTGGAGTATGGTGTAAAATGTTGATCTAAGCCTAATGTGTACTAGATTGCTTTCTGTTTTTCCCAGTGATTGTTATCAAATAGGTAGTTTTCCTCTTAGTAATTTTTTTTCCAGTGTATTGAACACTGTTACTGAATTCCTTTGCTTCTGATTATCTTTTGTATAGTCTGTTCTATTTATCTCTGTTTTCTTTTACGATGCCTTTGAAATAACTAAGTAGCTATGTGGCACAGTGAGTGGATAGAATGCTGGAGTTGGAGTTAGGAAAACTTGAATTTAAATCCCTTCTGTGATACATACTTACCTTTGTGCCCCCAGGGCAAGTCACTTACCTTCTCTCTGAATCAGTTTCCTTTTCTTAAAATGGGAATAATAATAGCAAATAATTCACAAGATTGTTGTGAGGATTAGGTGAGATAGTGTTTATGTAAAGCCTTAGGATCTAGATCCCTCTTTCCCAAAGGGAAGACGACCAGAGGGTGAATGGGCCAGTTCTGTAAGACCGGAGTCGTCTCTTTCAGCATGGGAAGAAAACCGGAGAGAGGCTGTGCCCGTAAAAGTCAAGTGTGATCTTTATTAAGCCGGTACACACATTCACATGTGGAGCAGGCAGCCTAATGCTGGAACGGCTTAGCTCTGGGGAAAGCAGGGAGTAGTTTATATATTTTTCTAAGAAAGGAAGGTAGGAAATGGGCTGATCCAGGAGGGAACAGGGTGAGTTATGGATGGAGAATTCTAGGCATTCTGACTTTTTTGGTACCTTGAGTAGTAGAGAGTCCATGCCTCCAGTACAGAAAAGTTAAAGGGATGTCTCCAACAGTGCAAGGCTAGCTGATGGCTTGGGCTGGTGTGAGCTAAGTTTGTTTCAGGGCCACTGATTCTGCACCTCCAGCTGGGTTTATTCTGGTCACCTCAAAGGAATGTTAATTTGTCCAGCCATTCTATATCTTGATTGGTCAACTTAGTCCCATACCACTCGCCTCCTTCATTTGGATAATTAGAGAGCTCAAGCAAATCAAGGCTCTTAGAATATTTATTTTTACATATGTAAAGCACTTTACACATTTTAAAGCACTATATAAATGCCAGCTATTATTTTCTAGTGTTTGTTGGACATAGATTTTAGGTAGTCCAGTGATTCTTGGATTTTTTTTCCCTCTTAATTTGTTTTCCAGGTAACTTTATGTTCTATTTTTTTCTATGTTTTGACTTAAATTTTTTTCCTTCTTGTACTAAGATGCCAGTTCTCATTCTACGTCTCTTTTCTAGCACTCGAATGTCTTTTTCAATTCTTTCTCTGTAGATCTCTTTTCATTTATGATGTGATTTTTTAAAAAAAAGTATTGCTTGATTTCTTTTAAGGAATTCTAAGTGATCTTAGGACTGTATTTATTTTTGAGGCTTTCCTTATAAATTTTGTGGAATTATACTCTTCTTTGTGTTTTGGGAAACAAAACAGGCTCCATAATAGCTTTTTATCATTAGTGCCTTTTTTTGTTTACTTATTCTTCTACCCTTACTTTACAAATCAAGATATTATGTTCAGAGCAGGATCTGTATTTGTATTTCAGTAGAAAATGTTAAGGTCTTGTTCGGTCCTGTTATTTATTTGCTTAGGTCCTCCTACTTCTTTTTCCCTATATCAGGAAGCTGAGTCAAGGGAAGCTAGGGTTGCTGTGGCTCTCTGGAAGGAATTGGAGGAAATTTGGAAATTAAAAAAATAAAAGATATAAAAAAAGACCCTTAGAAAACAATAAAAGCAAGTTGTATATAACAGCTCAGTTTGTAGACCTTCTGCTATATAAGGTATATATACAATGGAAATGCTCATTTTATTTGCTGTTTGCTAAGTTTTAAATTAAAAATTTTTTAAACCTCCTGATTTTGCACTGAAAAATATACTTTTCACTCTTTCGTACCTAAATAGCCTTCGCTTTTAACTTTTTTTCGTTGTCTTCATTCTCTGAACTTTTAAGATTGAGTGTCTCTTGTGGTGGTTTGGGGATTAATTTGAGAGGTTTTGGGATGCTTGTAATTGCTATGAGAGTTGAAAAGATTAGAACAAGATTATATAGAGTCATGTTATAAGTATTGAATAAAGAGATTCATTCAGTTGAATTTGTAATTAATCTCCCTCACTTTCTTATGTTTTGGCAAAGTCACCTGAAAATGCAATATACTGTGATTGTAGGAAATTTATGAAATCAGCCAAACCAGAGGATACTTCACATTAACATTTCACCTAAAGATGATATGTGAAAAATGTTCTTATGTTTAAATAGACGTTAAACAGGTACTCATTAAAATAGAATAGAAGTGTACCAGTTAATTAGTACTTGTCAGATAACCAAGGGTGATAATAGTGGCAAGTCAAGCTTTAGCATCCACCTACCTTTTATTCTTTCCTTTTTTTTTTTTTAATTTTTAAAAAATTTTTTGGTAGTAGGAATGGGATGAACAGGTAAGGGGAACAAAAGATACAATTAATTTTGTCTTTACTCTGGATTAAACTGACTTAGTGTTGAATTAGAATCTTATTAGCGTATTCAGTATAAATTGTATTATGGAAAGTTTTAAGGAATATAGTTTCTCTGTAGCCCTGAAATGAGTTTTCCACAAAGAGGAGTTATTATTCAGTAGTTTCAGTCATATCAACTCTTTGTGATCCCATTTGGAATTTTCTTGGCAAAGATACTGGAGTAGTTTGCTATTTCTTTCTCCAGCTCACTTTACAGATGAGGAACTGAGGCAAATAGGGCTTAGTGACTTGCCCAGGATCACATAGCTAGTAAGTGTCTGAGGCCAGATTTGAACTCAGGAGGATGAGTCTTCCTGACAGTAAGCCTGACACTTTATTCCCTTTGCAACCTAGCTGCCCTCAAAGGGGAGGAAATTATTTAAACACACACTCACACACTCACACACTCACTCTCTCTCTCTCTCTCTCTCTCTCTCTCTCTCTCTCTCTCTCTCTCTCTCCCCTCTCTCCCTCCCTCTCCCCCTCCCCCCGGGGACAACTATATTTAGATTTATATTTGAAACCTTTAGAATCAGAAGTCATAGGCAAAATTTTAACACAAGGCAGTTTTTTTTTGTTCATGTTTGATTACTATATTTAAACATGTTTAAATTTTAAATTTTTTATTTTGACCTTGTGAGAAATAGCTCATTCGAACTCAGGAGGGTTGAAGTTAAAAGCTCAGTTTATTACGCAGTTACAAAAGTGTGTGTCCTATTGATTGAATAGGCATGTACTATACCAAAACAAAAATTCACTATTTATTTCTGATCCTGGCCACAAAGTCCCTCCTCTGTTTCCTCAATGGCTGAGTACTCCAAAGGGTACAACTTTCCCGCATGCCTCTTACACATCTACTCCTTGACACGTCTTTCCTCCTTCTGCATACATCCCATGTTCAGAAAATGGCATCTTAGCCTGGCTTAGAGGTGGAGAAGTTAGTATTCATGAGCCTATTAAGCATGCACACTCTAAACAAAGCTTAACCTTTATGCTAATTACTGACTTCTAACCACAAAACTGGAGAAGGCCTGCAGTATCCCATTTTACTTAATTACTTTTCTAGTGGTTGTTTCAATTTTATGGAAATAAACATTTTCATTATATCTGTCAAACTTAACAAACATCAAAGAATTGAACCTTTCCATATGTAAAGTAGAGCAGAAAAAGATTATATATGAATGTAATTCTTTATTATATAAGCTTGCTTTTGAAAAAAAAATCAATAAATTCAATATATTCCTTTCAGAGCTGTTCTACTTGGCTGTTTGCTTCTGAGCTTTCTGCTATTCTTAATATTAAAACAAACTTAATTAAATGTCTCTATTTTCTTCTTTTTTGGGGGAGATAGCACTATCAGGTAGCCCTCTACTGGTACCTAAATCACCTCTTATCCAAAAAAAAAAAAACCCAAAGCAAAACCATAATCTTCATAACAGGTGTAATCAAGAAAAACAAATCTAGCCATTTGTCATTCCAAAACTATTTTTCATTTGACACCTTGAATCCATCACTCTGCAGTCAGAATGTGGGCAACATACTTCCTTACCTGTCCTTTGGAGTTGTAGTTGATCATTTCATTTATCCTCGTTCTTGTGTCTTTCAAAATAGTTTCTCATTGCAATATTATGGTATATTTTATTCTCCTGGATCTATTATTAACTTCACTGTGTCAGTTTATACTAGCCTTCTCAGGTTTCTCTGAACTTTTCCCTTTCATCATTTTATTACATTCATATACCATAATTTGTTTAGCTATTGTCTTGTTGGTAGGCACCCATTTTCTTTACAATTCTTTATCACAACAGAAAACAATGCTGTAAGTAATATGTATTTTATATTTGGGTCCTTTTTTGGTGTTTAATTAGAGTTTTAAAATTTGTTAGTTTTCTGCTTTTTTTAAGATAGTCTCAAATCATTTCCCCTCTCTCTCTCTCTCTCTCTTTTTTTACCCCAGCCACTTTTGTTGTAACCCAAAAGTTTGGGTATGTAGGAAAGTAGTCGCCATGTCATAAAAAGATTAACAGACAGGATTGAGAAGAAACTTAGTTTCTGATATTCCATTTCTGGCTTTAACCAGCCATTTGTTTCAGGGGAATTGCTGTATCTCTGGAATTTAATTTTGTCACCTATAAAATAAAGGATTGAATTAATATGATCCTTAAGCTCTAAAATTCTATGAGTTCATGAGACTGAAAAAATTGTTTAAGCATCAGTATTCACATGTGAATTCTGACCTTTGTATTTCCTAATGTTTTGGTTTTAATTCATAATAGTTAATTTTGTAATAATATTAATTCACTAACATACTCATCTTCCCTTTTTCAAGGGAAAGTTTGTTTTTAATTTAAATGTTATATGGAAATTCTTAATAATGTTTTATAATCTAATCATCTACTAGTTCATTTTGTTCTTCATTCAAAACTGTTCAGATTAAGACAATTTTTCTACCTTTTCCTCTTTCCCCAACAATTTCTAGTTCTGTAATATAAGTGAAATTTTCATGAGTTTTCTAGTAATTTAAGGAGTATTTAGCATGTTCTTGAAACAATGTAAGATAGCTAAATAACAAATTTAGTTGTGAATAGAGAAGTTAAAAGCTTTAGATGAGGAAGTTGGTAACTTATTTGTACTAAATCTCATATTGTTATGCTAACAAGTAATGGCAGCATGTTATGTTCCTAAGAATAATAAAATTTAAAGCTAGATGACACCTTAGAAGTCAAAGTACACCTTTATTTTAAAGATGAATTGAGAACCTGGCTCTTGAGCATATTAAATGACTTGACTAGAATGACATAGACCACAACTACAGAGCTTAAATTTGAGCCCAGGTCTTCAGACTCCAAATTCGGTAGTCTTTCAGCTATACCAGGATTCTTTTTCACTTGAAAATGTTTTATATTGAAAACATTTTTCCCCAAGGTTTGTTTTTTTTTTTCTCTCCTCTTGTCACCAAGGAAAAATTCTTATTTCATAGAGTTATATGTCATCAAATAAACACATGAACAAGTCAGCTATTTTTTATAGAAGTGACTAATACAGATATATGCTGTTTGCTTTTTTTCTTTTTGGTCTTGTTTTAAAGTAAAGAATTTGAATAGCATCATAATGACTCATCTAAATGGTAGGGGTTTTTTTTTTTAAGTTTTTTTGGAGGCATATGTGTTTGTGTTTCTTTTTTAGAAATCACTTTTTTCCCCTACTTTGTATTCCACTGATAGGATACAATTGTAGTGACCGGATTTGTTTTAGAGGAGACTTCCTCTTCAAGTAAACATGGAAAGAACTGTTTGCAACTGAAAATGTCTCCAAATGAATCTACTGCTTATGTAAGTATACAGATTATCTGCTTTGCTTATGTTATATTTAGTAATTAACAAAACAGCATTGAATAGAAATAGAATTGCCACATTTCCAAGTCATGTGTTCTAAGCTTTTTAGAAAAATTTTTCTTGCCTTCATTATGGAAACTTAAAAATGTTGACTAGTGAGAAGACCATAGTGAATTTAAAACTTTATGATAACTGTCCTGCCATTTAGCTGCAACTTTGTTGTATGAGATTGTCCGCATGACTGTATTTAAGAATAAAGATTAAGAAAACATTAGATTTGTTAGATGAGAGATCTTTGCTTTTGAAAGGGGAAATTTCAATCTAGCAGTAAGGTCCAGATGATATGGAAGAGAACGAGAGAGGAACTGAAGTCAACAGTTGTAAGTAACTTTTTAATACAGTTGGCTAAGAAAGGGAGGAAAGATATAGGGAGAGTGGGATATTGTAAAGGTTTTTGTTTGATTTTTAAGAATAGGGAAGACTTGGGATTCTTTATAGGCATCAGGAAAGGAGACAGTGAGAGACTGAAGATGAGAGAAAGAATGTGTGGGGATGGTGATGAGGGCAGTCTGATAACCTTGAAAAGTCTAATTCTTCATCCACCTTTAACAGACCCCTTGTTAACCACCAGTACTCTGCCCTCACTTATTCCTCAGCATACTCCCATCCTCTCATGCTTTCCTCATCCTGGGGACTCTGAACCCCTGGCTGCTGAAGTACATACTCCACACTTCAGCTTCCTTATCCTTACTCCCCAAATGGCCCATTGTAGATCTACCTCCCCTTCCACTGTGCTCTCTTTCTGGAATAACTATGAGTAACTTCAATAAACATTTAGTTAGTGCCTACTATAATGTACGTAGCACTGTGCTAAGTACTGGAGATACAAAAAGAGACAAAAGATAGTCCTTGCCCTCTAGGAGCCTGCAATCTAATTGCTGTAATTAACAAACTTAGTTTGATCTTAAACTTTTTCCTTTGTTTCTGTCTTTTACTTATCACTGAGACCTGGTTTACTCCTCATGCATAATTCTGTGTCCCTGACTGTGCTTTCTAATTCTAATTATACTTTCACTCAGACCCCTTTGATAATGGTGGAGGAGTCAGAATGTTCCTTCCTCCCTACTGTCATTTCTAAAATCTCTCTACCAGGTAGACCCTTCATCCTGTCCCTTCCCATCTTCTCTGGAATATTGCTACCTCTATTATCCTCCCTCCCTATCATTCTCTCCCTCTTTACTGCTTCTTCCCTATTGCTTACAAAAATGCCTCTGCCTCCTTTTTCCTGGAAAGATCTAGCTGTTATTCTTCAGCTAACCTCATTGAGGAAGCAGCCTTAACATGGTGCTTTTACTTCCTCTCCTCTTTTTTTCTGCAGTCTGACTTCTCTCCTCACTAACTTGAAGTGCTGTTTTCAGAAACATCAATGATATCTCATTTTAAAAAAATAATTTTATTGATATCTTTTGTTTTTACATTGTCTAAATTTCTACCTGTATGCCACTCCCATCTCCTCCAATATCTCAATGATTTTCAGATCTAATAAATTTTTCTTAATATTCATTGTTTTTTACCTCTGTGGGGCCTTTGACACTGTCAGTCGCCATCTTTGGGATATTATTTTTTCTCGAGTCAACAAGTGTTTATGAAACTTCTATTATTTGCTAGGATACTAAGCACTGAGAATACAAATTAAAAAAAAAAAGACAGTCCCTACCCTTAAGTAACTTACATTCTAATGGGGGAAGATAATACATAAAAGAGGACTGAAAATAGGTAGAGGACATTGACCAATTCTAGAGAGTCTAGAGTAGAGACAGGAGAGGAATAAAGGCTGACTAGCCTGGGCTTTTCCTCAGAAACAGAGTTTAAGCAGCAACACACCAGTGGGATGAGAGAGTGACATGGGCAGGGATCTTCTAGGAGAAGAAAACAGTTGAGGCATAGTGTTAATGTTTGGAGAGTGAGGACCAGAGCTAGGAGAAGTTTTAGTAACAATGTTCTTTCCTGATTCTCCTACCCATCTGATCTCTCTTCCATCTCCTTTGCACTCTCACTAAATGTAGTGTTTCTAAGGCTCTCTCCTGGCTCCTTTTCTTCCTCGATACTTTCTCACTTGGTGATTTCATCATCTTGTTTTCATTTCTATACAGATGGTTCACAGATCTGTATATCCAACCATAATCTTTCTCCTGAACTGCATCAGCAGTTGCCTTATGGAGTTCTCAAAGTGGATGTTCCATAGGCATTTCAATTCAATGAGTCCAAAACTGAATTCATTATCTTTTCCTTAAAATCAAGTTTTCATGTTACTATTGAGGGCACTACCATGCTTCCAGTTGCCTAGTTTCACAACCTTGACACCATCCTCAGCTCCTTACTCACACTGATCCCACATATATGCTCTGTTGTCAAGTCTTGTAGTTTTTACTTCACAACATTTATGTCTGCTTCTCTTTACTCATAGTTAGGTCTGTTTTTGCTCTTGTTTTGTCTGAGATCATGATCACTACCCCTGCCTTTATATTTCCTCTGAAGCATAATAGATTATACTTCAGCCCTTACATTAACTCTCTGTGGCTGTTTCAAGTGTATCTCTTGTAAACGACATATTTTGTTGGATTCTAGTTTCTAATTCCTTTCTGCCAGCCACTTCTATCTTATGAATAAGTTCATTCCATGCATATTCATAATTATGATTATTAACTGTGTATTTTCCTCCATTCTGTTTTCTCTCTCTCTTTCTCTCTTTCTCTCTCCCCTGTCCCTCCTCAGAATCTTTTTTGCTTCTGACTGCTGCCTCTCTTAATCTGCCCTACCTTTAATCATTCTCCCTTAGCCTGTATCTCTTATCCCCTTCTGCTTCTGTTTCCTTATTGGGTAAAATAGATTTCTATACCTAATTGTGTATATATATTCTACCCTCTTTTAACCAATTCCAATGAGAGTGAGGTTCAGCTATTGCGCCTCATTCCCCCAGCTTCCCCTCCACTATAAAAGCTCTTCTTTGTGTGCCTCTTTTATGTGAGGGAAATTTCCCCATTCTCCTTCTCTCTTCCTTCTTCTCCCTCTTTTTTCCCCCCAGATCTCAATCGACTCACAATGCCCTCTCTTTATGTAGACTCCTTCTAACTACCCTAATAATGATAAAGTTCTTAGGAATTACATGTATCATCTTCCCATATGAGAAAGTAAATAGTTTAACTTTATTGAATGTAGAAGTCCATAAGTCCAAAAATGAATTCATCCAGGTGGGAAAAAAGGAGATATCTGAGTTTTCTGGAAAGATTTGAATCTTTTCCACCATCCTCTGCTTCCTTAAGATTGATGTGGACATCGCCTAATAAAAAGAAACATTAGTAAAATTCAAACTTAGACTACTAAATCTTTTTGCTTTAAAATTTTAATGCTTTTTGACTCAGTTTAGAAAAAGCTTTACATAAAAATTATACCATTTTCTTTGGTTTAGGCTAACAATGTATAAACTTGCTCACCGTATTTTAAATATTTATAGTATTCATGACACCTTATGTTAAAATATATCTATAGGTAAATCTCTTTATTCATTTTTCAGGTTTATGTTAAATGTGACACAGTTATTTCTGAGGAACCTATATGTTTGGTAAGTTTAGATTCAGCTTTGGCAGTTTAGTTCTTATGAATATTTTCTTCAAATGTAATATATGTAATTTGATTTTGAAATTATTTCACTAAAATTAGGAACAGATTCTTCCATTTATTTTTGTGAGTGAATGAAAAAATAACAATATACAGTTTCTGTTTATTAACACTGGTTCAGTATTGTTCTTCATATGATATTTTAGATGTCATCTCTGCAAAGCAAAAAGTTTTAAAATAAAGTTATTCTTATAAAATGACCATCTTGCTATATCAGATTTCACACTATTATTAATATCATGAGAGTTTTTTTTCCCTAAATGGTAAATTGAAAATATTTTTCCTGTATTCACTATATGTTTATATTTTTCTGTATACTTTCAAAGTTTTGAGCATTATCTATCTGCTTCTCAGTGAAGTTAGTGGAAATATTTGTTTGGTTTATTCAAAAGATCATTGAATTTGGAAACCAAAAACCTGATTTCAACTCCTCCTCTTGCTGCTGACTGGCTGTGTGCCCTCAGGTACATCACTTAGCTCCTTAGACTTCAGTTTCCCCATCTGTAAAGTGGCAGAGTTGGACTAAATTATCTCTTAAGGCCCTTCCAAGTCTAAATTCTGTGGTATTCTAGTTTTTCCTCATTTTGCTTAAATTTATTTAATAATCTAAAACAAAAGATAAAGGTGATAGTTTCTTTGGAGGAATCACTCATGCCTCAGACAGATTAAGAGGAGAGAATCAGGCTTTCTCTTTAACCTGCTTTGTGACCTTCTTTGGACTTCAGTTTCCTAAACCATCAAACAAATAAGTTGAATTAAATAATCTCTAAAGTCTCTTCCAGTTCTTTGTTTCTATTTGTTATCTAACTTTAAATTTAGAGAAGAAAAGTAGTGATAAATAGAATAATTTTGACCAGAGAAAAGTGTAGTCAGTGAAAGTATTTTGAAGGACAGAAAATAATATTATTCTGTGTTGTCTTTGACTTTAGTGCCTTCTCAAAGTTAGCGTTTATTTAAAATTGTACTGTAATACCTATTTATCTGGCTGTCTACTATCTAACAGCTTCAGCTTTATGGAAAGACCAGAAACTCGGGAATAATTTAGAAGTAAATGAAGGAGTTTCTGAGCCAGATAAAAGTGTCTGTCATGAAATCCAGGTACCTTATTCCACAGGAAAGGCTTAGAACCACCTTTGTTTTCCTCAGGCATAGAGTCTATTGGATTTAACTATATACATAGTGCATTATTGTCTGGTTATACTTACTGATCTTCAGTCCTCTAGATTCATTCAGATAATGGAGAATAACAAGAGATTGAAAATAGGCAGTTTGGGGTAGAGGTAGTAGGGTCGAAGAGTGTAGAGGGGGAAGGAGAAAAGGACATAATAGAGGGTAATAATAAATAAGTGTCTACAAAGTTAAGCTACTATGGTAGACTTCTGGGGATATGAAGAGAATAACAAAACAATCCCTGCCATCAAGGAGCTTATATGCTACTCTAAATATATGTACACATCTCAGTAAATAATGTATATGTACTAATACAAAGTGATTTCCAGCAGGATAGAGTGCTAATTACTAGGGGGATAGAAAAGGCTCTTATAGAAGACAGCACTTAAGTTGTTCTTTGATGATGAAGTAGGAAGTTGTTTGAGACATAGGTAAGGAGGGAGACCACCTGGACAAAGTATGGAGACAGGAGATGGAATGGACTAGAATAGAGACTGTTGAATGCATATTGGAAAGATTTAATTTTAAAAAAAGTTAAAATAAAATTTTAAAAGTTAGGCAAGTTAAATAGTTAAACTTCATTTATCTATAAAATATCCTTATGTCTAATTTCCCAACTATGACAGATTAATAAAAAACTTACTACATTGCTAAATGTATATATGAAAACAAGTTTTATATTTCTGTTTATGTAGAGTGTGACACCCAAGTATACATATACACCCCTGAATCAACTTAAGCATGGATCTATAGTCAACGTGTATGGTGCTGTGAAGTTCTTCAAGCCCCCTTATCGAAGCAGAGGAACTGGTTAGTATTTACAAAGTATGTTTGTGTTTTAAGTTTTTTAAGTGTTTGGTCTTTTTTATTGTTTTTTAGTTACATGGGTGTCTCTCATCATTTTAAATACTAGAGCAGAAGTCAGATTTGTGAATTACCATCCCAGTGTTCTAGTGACACCTTTTTTGAGTGACTAATCTTATTTACCAGAATTTGTTGGAAGTAGATATACAGAATTTAGAGGGTCTAAAAAAGAATAAATGAGAATGGATTAATAAGATTAAATTAATGAATTGGAAAGCAAGGATTACTCAACTTTATGGAAGTACTGACATGTTCATAGTACTACTATGCTGTGTGCTGCCAGTGGAATAGGTATTAAATATCTCTGCTCCTTGAAGCAATTTATTATAGCAAAGGATGTCAAAATGGACAGATGGACAAAAGGACAAAGAAAAATGAAAAAAGTTATAGAAAGTTGATGAAATACTCATGCTACAAAAGCCAAAAGCATGTTAATATTATGTAAGTGTTCATTTTTATCTTGTGGGATAATCTAGCCATTCACTCCTTTGGCTGTAGGAAGACTTTTATTTCCATGTTTTCAAGCTGACATAATATGCAGAGTTCTTTACCCCATAGCTTCTGTTTCTTTAAAGAGTAGGGGTGCATAGGGGCAAGAAGGAAATAGAGAGATGCTTTTTTTTTATCTCTTCTTTGGAACCAAGCTTGGTAATTATAATTTTATGTCATTCAGTTTCAGTTTTGTTTTTGATATTCTTTTCATTTGCATTATTATAGTCATCCTGCCTTTCATTTTCCTGACTCTGCTTACTTTACTTTGCATCAGTTTATATAAGGCTTCTCATGCTTTTTGCCTGGAATTTTTTTTGTTGTTTCGTTTTGACTAGGCAATGGGCTTAAGTGACTTGCCTAGGGTCACACAGCTAGTGAGTGTTGTATGTCTGAGGCCAGATTTGAACTCAGGTCCTCCTGAATCCGGGGCTGGACCACCCAGCTGCCCTGTTGCCTGGGATTTTTTTAAAGTAAAATGAACAGATATGTAAATGGCCTCTAAGGTCCTTTCCAGCTCTAGATCTATTATGCTTTGATTTAGGATTGTTTTGTTAGAGGTCACCTTCATTTCTCTATGTACTTATCCCATACTCAGAGCCCTAGCTACTGTAACAAAGAGTAAGAAAAATAAGAAACACAAATCAGTCAAAAACTAACCAACATCAGTTGAATCTGATAGCTTTTTCAATATTCTGTACTCATTATGACCTCACCTCTTCAAAGAAGGGAGAGAGGAAGGCACACTTTCTCTTCTCTATACCAATTGGTCATTCTGATTATGTAGTGTTCAGTTTTTGTTTCTCATTTACATTGTGGTAGTCATTGTGCAGTTTTGTTTTCTTGATTCAGCTTCACTTTGAATCAGTTCATGTAAATTTTTCATTATTGTATGTAAATCTTAAGAAGTGATTAGTAAAAAATGACAATTGGAAATATTTGAGGTTTTGTTTTTAAAATTTCAAAAGTAGTATCAGTTTTAAAGTTACATAAAAATTGACTCAGTTGCTTCCTAAACGTTTGCAAGTAAATTATTAAATTTAGGTTTGAAATGTTGTAGTACATAATCACACTTTCTCTGGACAGTTAACACAAAAAAGGATTTAGAGAAAATATGAGCCCCAAAGAATGAAAATGTGTGTGCCAGATATGTTCAAATATATGAAATCAGCTGGAGGAATTAAGAGCTAGTAATAGACCATCTGCTATTATAGAGATTAGGACATATGTTTAACAATTTTTTTTCTCCTGTGATCCATATTTAAATGAATATCATCAATTTCATTTGAACATATTCATTGATAACACTAAAAATATATCTTGAAACTCTAGCAAGAGTTTCTAAACTATCAATTTTCGGGTTTTATTGGTCATTTTTTTCTTTGTGTTGAAGGAAGTCATACTTTACCAGGAGTGAATACTACAGGAAAGTAAAACAAATAGCACTGATTTTTGTTTTTAGGAAAGTACCAACTTCATTAGAGCTACCATAGAGAAGTACCAGAATAAATGTACAGGAACAAACTGCAGCTGTGCCTATTTTCTATCATGCAAAGAAACATTATTTTCTATGCATCCAGCTACGTTTTAGATCATATCCAGATGTACAAATGAGGGAAAAGTTCATAAAAAAACTCTGATGCAGATTGAGGAAGAAAAAGGTATTTCTAAGATTTGTTCATTAAAATTTATTTTATAAAATGTATGTATTAAAGATGTGACAGATGAAAGTAGTTTTGTATAATTTAGCTTTCTCAACTGATTAATCTTAGTGCCTTTCATTACATACCAATTAGTAATAACCAATACATTATCTCTATCCTTTTTTGGTGAGTTTTCATAATTTCTTAAGTTCTAACTTGCATTAAAAAATTCGTCACTGTGAGAAATGTAGCCTTTATCCCTTTCCATGAAGAAGCTGTCTATTACAGTTAAAGGTGAGTTATCTACCATAAATTTGACATCATTTGGGGATAGGATCCTCAAAAAGTTAGGATAAGCTTTCATAAGAATCAAGGATATAAATAAGTAATATTTGGTAAAAGAGTTTATCATCAACAAAAAAGATTTTGTGAATGTATAATGGATTTATGTGCATCTGATATGCTATTATTCATATAAAAATATGTTTCAGCACTTCTCAGTTGTTACAGTAGCAGTTAAGATTTGTCATGAGTTTTCCACCTTCTTGTACTTGGTACCAGCCATATACATGTGTGAGACAGAAATCTAGGTCTAGATATACAGTCTGTTTCCATGGATGAACACCATTTGTCATGTTGTCTTTCATAATTTATTTTTTTTTGCATGTAGTTTATGTTTTCATTAAGCCAGAAATTTATAGATTATGTTTCTACTTTTTAAGAAGAAAAATCATTTCTCTGTTCCCACAGTAGTTTCTGTATAGCTATGTAACAAATGAGATACTTTGCAAGGAACTTCTGTTTGTAGTTCACAGTTGGTTTCTGTTTAAGTGTAACCCTTTGGCTTGCCCTTTCTCTTCGCAACATTCCGTCCAGAGCATGCATAGAAATCTAGGGAATTAGCACCTGAAAAGAAATAAAATTCTGTTCCTTTGGATTCTAATGAAGTGGACAGAGTCAGCCTAATGAGAATTTTTTAAAAAATTGATGCCTTTTGCACATCACAATAATTCCCTACTCTCTTTATAACTTCCCCAGTTAAAATAGTTAAAAAAGAGTGAAACAATAATCCTGTCAGTTTATGAAATACCTCCTAACTAAAAATTTAAAATTAGGTGAAGCTTATTTTGATGCCTTACAGATTTATGCTCTTCTCCTTTACTGGTGTTTCCTGTATTCTGTCCCCAAGGAATTGAATCATCTCAGGTTTGACTCTGGCTGCATAACTCCCTTCCTCCTTCTTTTGCCCTGCCCTCCCTGTATCCCCCATGCACACTTGTCACAACCTTCCCAAATCTACTACTGCCATCCTACAGTGCCCCACATGCCAACATTATTTCTGCATCCTCCTCTGTCCAGTCAAAACTCTTCACCCTTAGCAGTAGCATTTAGGAAAGGAGCTTAATTAAGCCACTTTACACTCTACTGAAAATGTAATATTTTGATATCCTGCTGGTTTTCTCCTCACTCCAAATGCCCATTCCAACAACTTCTAGGTGAAAAAAGGCCTTTTAAAAGTCTGACTTTCCTCTTGTTGCTTGTCTGCCTGGGAGACAGTGGGGACTGGGAAATCACTTGTTAAGCTAACATCTTCGTTAACTCTAGAATCGGTAGCTTTCTATTTTCCTAATAATGAGTACTTCCTAGTTACTGCTTACTACTGGAAGTTCTTCTGGTATAGACAGGCAAGAAAAAAGCCTACTACAAGTAGTGCCCTGCTTCCTTGCCTGAGTTACTTGACCACTAACAGGGTTTGAATGAAATGGAAGTCAACGACTCCATTCATTCTGATGAGGTAGAGGACCATTGGTCTCTCGGCCAGAGCCTCCTAAGATCCTTCAGGCCTCACCATCTGCCCTACCTCTATTTCCTGAAGTCTCCCTGCACTGTTATCTTGACAGTTTATGAAGCCTAAGGACCTCTGGAGTTTGCCATCCTCCCCCTCTCCATCCTTAGAACCTCCAAGCCTTTCCGTGTGCCTTACAGTTGAGCTTTATTTTATGTTTTCTTCAATTAGAGTCTGAGCTTCTTGAGAGTAGGGATTATTTATCCTTTTCTATTTGTATCATTAGGACTTAGCATAATACTTGGCACATCCTCCTTCTCCTTGTCCTCTTCCTCCTCCTGCTTAATAAATGCTTTTTCATTCATTCATTCAAAATTGACACATGGAATACATAGGAATTGTGGACCACTTGGCAGGTCTAGAGCTCATCTCTTGCTTTTTAGTCTAGTGCTCTTTACAGTATATACCACACAATCTGAGTAAATGGGGAAAAGCACATTGATGATCTGAACTGTAAATGATTCATTTATTAATTTCTTGAAAGTTAATTGGGTGCCACTTTAATTTTCACTCTACTGCAATGTCATCAAATTGAAAGATGTCCCCTTTTAATAATTCTTTTAAACTTAATGATACCTTATTTCTTTCTGGGAGGTAATGATTTTGTCATGAAAATGCTTATTTGAGCCACCTGGAAAATCGCACTTTGTTATAGTAATAAATATTGAAGATAGGCAAAACTTTACGCTTTTAAGAATAAGTTATTTTACTTATAATTATGACTAATTTGTAAGGCATATGGTATCATAATTATGTTGTCATTGATATATTGGTGACTAATTAGCTATTCCATCAGAAATACTTGTTTAGATGTCATTAATTAGAACCTTAAGCACTTCTGCCACTTGTGGCAGAATTTAAGTGTTTAGCGAGATCTTGTGCATTCATCAGAGCAATACTGTCTTTACTGATGCACTGATGTATCAGTTTTCCCACTTTTCCTCCCACATATGTCACTTTCCTTTTTT